GCAGCAGAAGAAACACAGACGTCCCACCTCTTCTCAAAAAGCAGCCGGCTTCGTTGGAGGTTTTTAATAAATAGTTCATCAACACAATGCTCCATTTTTGAGTCACATTCAAGAATATCTGCTAGCTTTCTGAGGCTATGGCCGAGTTTGAGGGCCAAGGATGGAGTCTTGTATTGATTTGTTTCCTCATCATATCCAGCCACAGACCTGACTGCATCAATCACATGGTTAAAGTTGGAAGGAATAAAGAAATCCTTAATTGTTTTCAGTTTCCCTGCGGTTTTTGCTTCGTTAATTAACCTACCGACTTCTCTCATTTTCTGCCTAATGTAATCATGCTTAGTCTTATCATGCCCGTGTTTTAAGTACAGGTGCTCTCCGAGTCTCAGAATCCCCTTTTCTGCTTTGACAACACCCGTGACCTCATCCTGATGCATTGCCCAAATTAAAGACCACAGCTTTTTGCTGATGCCCTCCGGTACAGGCTGGGCTAGGGAGCAGAGGGACTGGACCCTACTTCTACCTGGTTTAGCCTGGTTTAGCCTGGGCATCTTTCTGTGAAAGCCGGCACCTGGCCACATGCCTCCACAGCGACTTTCGCTTAAGCAATGCCCCACAGTCTATACAGTGCAAAAACTCACTGGATTTAACTGAGGAATTTGGCTGTTTAGCTGGGACTAAAGTTCCAATGCCGGCCTTTAAAACCTCAAAATTGTGCTCACGGTTTCCACTATTCCTGATCAAATCAAACTGAAGTTTACGTGCTTTAGATTTCACAGGTAGAGCCAATGCTCTGGCTACGTCACTTTCATTTCCATGTTTTCTAGTCAAATGACGGGACATTTTGTGGCAGGACATTGAACAGTAGAGGCAGAAGTGTCTCTTGCTGTATACTCGCCCCCCATTTTTCTTCTTTTGCAGCTGCATGATAACAATCTTATTTGCCTTTGGTTCGTCACTTTCCGAGTCTTGAAGAAAAGTGTTTTTGATTTTTCTTTTTCCATACTTTTTTACAGGTTTCTTCTTGACAGTTAAATCGTCAGAATCTGAGTCGACTTCATCAATTAGGGACTCTTGACTAAGCTGCACAAACAACAAATAATTTGTAATCATTCTATATAACAATTTGAAGTCATGACTTGTAGTCAGCACTTACCAGTGGTTTGTAAGCGTGCGCTTCAGTGTGCTGCTCTGTGATTGGCTGCAGCCTAATGAACCACACACTTGCACCTTTTTCTAGCCTGACACCTGATTTCCTCTGTTGTGCTGCTCCATGATTGGCTCCAGCCTGCTGGACTGAAATTGCCCCAGTGTGCCCCTCCTTGATATCCCGCAACCCACCACCAGGGTTCCGACACATAACACACTTTTTTCAGGAAAGTAAACCTCCAGGGGTCCTTTCCATATTTTTACAGAGACTGCATAAGGACCGTTAGAAAAGCATTACCCATTGATTATTAAGCTTGGACCAGTGGGGTCCGGTGTTCGGGCCCCACCACGTAAAACCAGTCCCCATGACGTGAGTGGAATCTCAGGTTATGGAACCCACCAGGAGTTGAAAACAAGTGCACACAGACACACACACATATACACGTATGCACACACACACAAACATTTATACACACACACATATACACTTATACACACACACACATATACATTTATACACACACACAAACACACATATACACGTATACACACACACACACATATACATTTATACACACACACAAACACACAGATACACGTATGCACACACACATACACATTTATACACACACACATATACACATACACTCACACACACACACATATACATTTATACACACACACACACACATATATACATTTATACACACACACACACACATATACATTTATACACACACACAAACACATATACATTTATACACACACACAAACACACATATACACGTATGCACACACACATAAACATTTATACACACACACATATACATTTATACACACACACAAACACACATATACACGTATACACACACACACACACATATACACTTATACACACACACACACACACACAGGATCTGTCGGTCCTGGGAAAGCTTCTCTTCTGCTTCAGTCACAGTTCTACAGTTTGATCTCTCACAGCAGGTTCCTAGAATCATCAGCAGTTGTGTTGTTGTGTAGTGTCGTGTTGTAGTGTTGTGTTGCTGCAGCTGTAGAAGTGTGTCCTCCGGTCTCTGACACGGAGGAACGTTTAACACTAGTGATAATCTCCAGTTTAGATTCACATTAAAATGGGGTCGTAGTAAACGTGATCCAGATCCTGTCAGACCTGCAGCTTCATTAAACATTATTATCATCGTTACCAAAGCAACACACTGTTTACGAGCCACAAGTTAGCATTTAGTAGCATTTCAACAAACCTCAACATTCAGTTTAAAACCAAGTTAAGGGAGAAAAACATGAATAAATGACTGAGGCTGAGTTTACACGGAGACAATGTGGCAGTAAAACGCTATAGTTAGATGTCGGTTTCTACCAACCGTTCATACGGAGACTGTTCCAGGTGAAAACGTAAGTGTTCAGATCCAGCCTCAGAGTGGGACAGCTCAGAAACGCTGCACAGCGGGGGCTCTTTCACACCCGCGAGAAGGAAAAGGTGTGAAATCCCCCTCTGCTCTGACCCCCACCTCCTGCTGCTCCCCACACGTACATTTGGACATGCGCAGTAGCGGAGAACAAACGTAAACAACAATGGCGGTGGTCACACTAACTAGCTTCGTGGGCTTCCAGCGCGGCACAGAGGAAGATTCTACTCCTTCGTTCGTTCAAACGAGACCACGCGAAGCTCTAGGTTCAGTTTCCATGTTCACAGCTACTGTTAAAATGCAGAATGATGTTGGTACGTTCTGAGGGTCTGGCACAGGAAGTGAATATACTGCCGTGGGGGGGGGGGGGGGCGGCATGGGGCACGGGGCTGGGGGTCGTGTGAGTGTTGTAAAGTTTCTCTGCCCCCTACTGGCCGGGCGCTAGAACTACATCGTTTTTCAACCTCATGTGAACGCTGAGAAATTTGCATTAGGAACCGGGTCGTTTCTGTTAATAGCCTGGAAACGTCTGCGCAGCGTCTCAGTATAAACAGGGCCTTACTTTTACTAAATCTGGTGGAAACTAAACATGTTTCGGGGGAATTTCTCAGAATTCCATCGGTTTGAATGAGAACAGTCAAAATGGCGGCTCTGGGAGTTTTAGTAGTTTCAGAGTTCTGGAGTCCAGGTGCTAAGCTTTAAATTATATATGTCTGTTTTAAACTCTCATGTTGTTCTGGTTCTATTTGATATTTTTATTATGACTGTTTTTATTGTTTTTTCCGACTGTGCAGTGCTTCGTAAACACTGTTTTTAAAGTGCTGTACAAATATAAAGATGTATTATTGTTATTAAAGGTTAATTCGTCCCTGAAGCCGCTTTATTATTAGGATTATTCTTATGTTTCAAGGATGGAGTGCTTTCAGTGAATTCATCCAAATGTTTTCGCTTCGTCCAATCCGTCTGTTTTGTTCTCTTTCATGTGGCGTTGCCATGGCAGCAGAGGATGTTCTCCCAAAGCAGTGGAAAGAAACCCAGAGACAGTGACATCATCGGTTGGTTCATGGTTTATTTCTCATTAGCAATGACACCAAATGTTCACAACTCTCTCTCTCGCGCGTTCAGGAGATGTTCGATTGTAAACAGAGGAAATGATCAAATTATTTTTTCTTTAGTTGAAGTCCAACTCCTCCGCCTCCGGTCGATGGATTCTACACACGTCTTTTAGCGTCGATATTTACAGAGGGTCCACAGTCGCAGAGACCTATCTGCTCTACACCTGTTTTAAATGTGTTATTATCACATATTTGTCAAAGAATCATTTATTTACAACAACACAGTCCCCGGCGGCCTGCTGCCGGAGCTCACAACACAAGTTAGAATTGCTTAAAATGAATTAAACTACTAAAGGTTTTTTCAAAGTTCACACTGTAACTCAACCTTAGCTTGTGTCATAATATTACTCCTAACAAAGTTAATACAGAGCGCTAGCTGTATTTCCCATAAAAAATATAAGTGAACAACCTAGAAATAATATTAAAATAAAAAGAAATATTGCACTTAAAGTTCAGGACAGCATTGCACCTGTTCGGTGGAGAAGAGGGAAGTGAAGAGACGGGCTTTAAATAAATATGCAAATCTTACAATACAACAACAAGCCATCTTTTTTTTGCTTCAGACCGTGACGTGGGGCGGGGTATTGCTCAGGGACAGAGGGGGCGCAGGTTTCAACTCTATAGCATATAAAAATGTAGGTCTACAAAAGTGGAAACCCAAGATAAGTGACTAAAGCTGTCGAAAGCAACGTCCTGAGAATGCTGTTGTTTAGTCCGCTACGAGCTACAATGTGTTTGCATTTCCTCCTCATGGAACTTTCCACGGCCGTTATTTTTCCACCTGCAGCAACAGTGACGCTGCTCCAGTCTGTTCCGCCTCCGTTTTGCATGTTCTCTCCCTCCCTCGTGTCCTCAGTCACAGTATTTCCACAGGTCGAACAAGTTGAAGCAAGCACCAAACGTGAGCCGTCGTCAAAAAGGCTTTCCATGGACTCAACATGAAAACGCAAAGAGGGGGTCGGGCGTACCGGCAGACAAAGTGGTTTGGAGGAGAGTGGGGACAAGGGAGACATGTAGAAAATTCAAAATAATGTTAGAAACAGTACCGGACTGTTGTCATCGATGGGCGTTCCCTCGGCAGAACACAGAAATCTGACACAAATACAACAGTGATCAGACAGGTCTTTCTCCAGCGCCTTAATGAGCCTCGACATCATCAATAACACATTCATTCTCTGCACTCATCCTTCCACCTGGTAAACATGTAAACCCCCAACATCACAAAACAAAGAAGACAAAAGGCGAAACACACAATCTCTCGTCTGTTTTCCGTTCGTGGCTTTTTCCGACTTGCTTCCGTTGCTTCTTCCTCTTACGACGTGGACGAAGTTGAGGTGGCACTAGATTTTTTTTGGTTGATTAAGTCCAAGTAGAGTTCTGAGCGCAGGAAGCGAGGGTAAGAGTCCTTCTCCATCAGCCCGAATATCCGCCGCTGCGCCAGGTCGAAGCAGGAGCGCGTCACGTTCTGCAGGTTGTCCTTGGTGTGGTCCCTGGTGTAGGAGTCCAGGTTCACCTGCAACAACAGGACACGCTCTAACCCAGGAACTCTGACATACAACTCTAAGATAGAACCCTAAGAAAGTCTCATCAGCTGTTTGTGTTTTTGGTCTCTGCTCTCTATGGACCGATGCCTCTGTGTTTGTTATCGAAGCATCCACTGCAAAAAGTGATGAAAAATAAGTAAAACATTTCTCCAATTTGGCAAAATGTATCTTCATCTGACTGAGCCTTAAACAGTTCTTTGTAGTAAGTAAGTAGTAAGTATTTATTTATATACCGCCTTTTCACTGCAGATCTGAGTCTCAAAGCGGTTTACAATTGTTAATTTTTTGTGCATTAGTCTCTCACTCCACACAGAGATGGGAGCGGGGTCAGTACAGGAGGCACATGCCATACCTATTGGACATATTTTTAGTGGTAGGGGAAACCGGAGTACCCGGAGGAAACCTACGCAGACACGGGGAGAACATGCAAACTCCACTCAGAAAGGCCCTGGTCCGACCGGGATTCGAACCCAGGACCTTCTTGCTGAGAGGCGAGAGTGCTATCCACTCAGCCACCGTGCCCGGTTTGTCCCGTTGGAGAATCTGGTTTAAACAGAATGCGTCAGATTAAGATAAAAACCACTAAATTCAAGCTTTTCTTCCCTCATGTTTGATCACTTTTTGCTGTGTATGTGTGATTCTCTGATCTGTGATGGTGAATCGACAGCTTTGGAAAGTGCACAATTGTATTTTTTGTTCTTTTTTATGGTCGAATAAATCTTTCCGTGTGTTTTAAACCAGTGAAGTTGAATTCAATGGCACGATTCATACGTCACAAAGATTCAATTCAATGTATTTTTGCATCTCCGTAAACAACAACAGCGGTCGTCTCAGAGGAAGTTGTGGATTCGCCAATAACAGATCAGAGAATCAGAATCATTTGTGTCGCCCGTGTAGCTAACAGGAAGTCAAACTACGACCAAGATGTACAGAGTAAAAAGGCACATCTACAAAAACATTTCTTAACATGACTACTATTTAAAGAGCCGTAAGAACACAATAGACTTTGAGTGCATTTAAAGAGACAGTAGCCCTGCTCTGTGTTGTGTGTTCTGTATGTATGAACTCACCTCTTTACACGACTGGATGGCGATGTACTCTGCAAAGATCTTCTTGGATTTGGACGCCATCTTGGACTGAGACTTGACTTTCTTGTACTCTTCACACGCCAACCAGAACTCAAGATTCTCCTCGCTGAATTCTGTTCGCAGGAAGGCCCTGAACGCCGCCAGACCATCTGACACAGGCGAGACCAGGACGAGACAGAGAGAGAGAGAGAGGGTGAGAAACACGTCGTCATGGCAACCCTCTGCTAAAAGTGCCACGCTAAGGACCGTAGCACTTTGTGAGTCGAGTGGTCGGAAAAAAGAGGTTTGAGGTTTAGGGTGAGATCACGGTGTTTCCTCTGATGAAGGAACAAAGAAAAACAAGTTGGAGCACATTCTGACTGCGTTCACCGGAAAAAAAACAATACAAAATTCTAATAAGATTCTGAAGTATTATTATCTTAAAGCCAGTAAAATAATCTTTTAACAAACTACATTCAAGCAACAAAAACAGACAAAAATAAGCATCATTAAATCTCACCAAGATTTTACTTTTGTCAGTGTTAAAACTAGATTCATCAATGAGACAAAACAAAATGACCTTGTTTTAAAAGATACAGAGATGTCTCCGTTGGAATGAGGAAATACAGCAGCAGTTCTGGAAATCAGACTAAATGTCTCTGTCCCGTTGGAGAATCTTTAAAACCGTCAGAATGAGTCAGATTAAGATAAAAACACTGGATTCCAGATTTTATGACCTCAGACTGTGTCACTTTTTGCAGTGCGCACACGGCGGTTTTTCAGTTAATGATTTAAGGAAGAAGCAGCGACAGGAGAATAGCAGGAACTCATGGCCCCCACAGCCGCCGCCACAGCCGCCGCCACAGCTGCCGCCCACAGCTGCTTTTGCACTTTCCCGTTCCCATGAATCACTGGGGTTGATAGACACCATTCCTTACCTCACTCTGGTGAAGCAGAGTGAGGTAAGAGGTAAAAGGAGGAAATGAGATGAAGGAGTGAGGGGCCAAGTGAGGGGCCGAGGGGGGGGCAATAAGAACCAGATGTGGTGTTGCCTCAGGCTGGTTCCTGCTGCTACAATAAAGAGCTGATAGCGGGAAACCAAAATAGCAATACAGGCACAGGTCTGGGCACAGGTCTGGCTTCACAGAATGGGAAGCTGCATTAAAGCTGCTGGGATTAAAGGAACAGGCTCAAAGCTGGCTCTAAACTTTAAGAGTTTGGTAATCCACACAAGGATAGAGGGCTCTCACACCATCCCCCCAGTCACTTCCCCTGCCACCCTATGATAAGCAGTGGTCAGTCCCTGTTCCCCTGCCACCCTATGATAAGCAGTGGTCAGTCCCTGTTCCCCTGCCACCCTATGATAAGCAGTGGTCAGTCCCCGTTCCCCTGCCACCCTATGATAAGCAGTAGTCAGTCCCTGTTCCCCTGCCACCCTATGATAAGCAGTGGTCAGTCCCTGTTCCCCTGCCACCCTATGATAAGCAGTGGTCAGTCCCCGTTCCCCTGCCACCCTATGATAAGCAGTAGTCAGTCCCTGTTCCCCTGCCACCCTATGATAAGCAGTGGTCAGTCCCCGTTCCCCTGCCACCCTATGATAAGCAGTGGTCAGTCCCCGTTCCCCTGCCACCCTATGATAAGCAGTGGTCAGTCCCTGTTCCCCTGCCACCCTATGATAAGCAGTGGTCAGTCCCCGTTCCCCTGCCACCCTATGATAAGCAGTGGTCAGTCCCCGTTCCCCTGCCACCCTATGATAAGCAGTGGTCAGTCCCTGTTCCCCTGCCACCCTATGATAAGCAGTGGTCAGTCCCCGTTCCCCTGCCACCCTATGATAAGCAGTGGTCAGTCCCCGTTCCCCTGCCACCCTATGATAAGCAGTGGTCAGTCCCTGTTCCCCTGCCACCCTATGATAAGCAGTGGTCAGTCCCCGTTCCCCTGCCACCCTATGATAAGCAGTAGTCAGTCCCTGTTCCCCTGCCACCCTATGATAAGCAGTGGTCAGTCCCCGTTCCCCTGCCACCCTATGATAAGCAGTGGTCAGTCCCCGTTCCCCTGCCACCCTATGAAAAGCGTACTCCTTGTATGAAAGTTCACAGACAAACACAGCATTTATGTAAAATTCTCCAAAAACCAAAGTATTAAATATAAAGTGTTCTCACATTTGTGGTTGAGGAGCCGGTCCAGGGAGTCCCCCCACTTCAGCGCCTCCTCGGGGGTGGGCCTGCAGATGAAAGCAGAGCGGTTCTTTAGCAAGCCCATCTCTGCCAAGTTTCTCATTGTGACCCATTCGAACACCAGCTAAATCTCTAAGTCATGTCTAAATCATGTCTTAATCATGTCTAAGTCATGTCTTAATCATGTCTAAGCAGAGTGAGGTCTGAGCTCTCTGCAGCGTCTGCTCTGTGGAGGACTGGGGGATGGTTTTATATCAGCGCCCACTCCATAGTCAGGGCAGAGGGGGCGGGGCTAAGCAGCAGCCAATGGGAGGGAGTGTAGTGGGAGCTGGACCTCCTCCCTCTGCTGTCTGTCTGCCCCATGGTCTGCCCCATGGTCTGCCCCATGGTCTGCCCCATGGTCTAAATATAAATATATATATAATCTTCTCTCATCTACAAACCTGTGAAAACGTGTATAATGATCACGGTTCTCTCACTGTCCCAGAGCCTCGTACAGATGTAAACAACTATATATTTATGTATATATATTTATGCTCCAGATTATACAGGATTTATACTTCTTTATTATTTAAATCGTTTTGCAGCCGCTTAAATGAAGTATAACGGGGAAAGAACTTAAACGCTTTTTGCTTCTGCCTTCTCCTTTTGGGCTTTCTTTCTTTCTTGAATTATATGTGCCTGAAAAAAATATAAAATACATTGTAAAACTGCTTCAATAGAAACAATAATAATTATATAGCAATTTTTTGGATAGTCAAAGACACTTTACAAACAGTGGTGATAAACTACTGTAGCCACAGCTGCCCTGGGGCACACTGACAGAAGCGAGGCAACCAGTCTGTGCCATCGGCCCCTCCCACCACCATCAACCATCCACACACACACCAGACTCATTCTAATGTGGGGGAAGTGTCTTGCCTAAGGACACAACCACAGTTTGGCACTTTACAGCCGCCGCACTGTGGCTGCTGTTCCCAGAGGTTTAGGCTGAGTTTATACTGAGACGCTGCGCAGACGTTTCCAGGCTATGAACAGAAACGACCAGGCTCATCATGTAAACTTCTCTGCGTTCATATAAGGTAGGAAAACGATGTAGTTCTAGCGCCCGGCCAGTAGGGGGCAGAGGAACTTTACAACACTCACACGACCCCCTCCCCCCGGCAGTGTACTCACTTCCTCTGGAAAGACGCGGAAGAACGCACCAACATCATTCTTTAACAGCAGCTGTGAAAATGGAAACTGAACCTAGAGCTTCGCGTGGTCTCGTTTGGACGAACGAAGGAGTAGAATTATCATTGTCTCTGTGTAAACTGCCAAGGACACAACCACAGCAGACAGTGGGAGTCGAGAAGGTCTTGTGGTGGGCTCGAACTCACAACCTTCTGGCTCAAAGGCCAACGCTCTACCAACTGAGCTACTGTCGACTACCACCACTGTACTACTACTGTACTACCACTATACTACCACTGTACTACCACTATACTACCACTGTACTACCACTGTACTACCACTGTACTACTACTGTACTACCACTGTACTACCACTGTACTACCACTGTACTACTACTATACTACCACTGTACTACCACTGTACTACCACTATAATACTACTGTACTACTACTGTACTACTACTGTACTACCACTGTACTACTACTATACTACCACTGTACTACCACTGTACTACCACTGTACTACCACTATACTACCACTGTACTACCACTATACTACCACTGTACTACCACTGTACTACTACTGTACTACCACTGTACTACTACTATACTACCACTGTACTACCACTGTACTACCACTATACTACCACTGTACTACCACTACTACCACTGTACTACCACTGTACTACCACTGTACTACCACTGTACTACTACTGTACTACCACTGTACTACTACTATACTACCACTATACTACCACTGTACTACCACTGTACTACTACTGTACTACCACTATACTACCACTGTACTACCACTGTACTACCACTATACTACCACTGTACTACCACTGTACTACCACTGTACTACTACTGTACTACCACTCTACTACTACTATACTACCACTATACTACCACTGTACTACCACTATACTACCACTGTACTACCACTATACTACCACTGTACTACCACAATACTACTACTGTACTACTACTGTACTACCACTGTACTACTACTGTACTACTACTAAATTACTACTGTACTACCACTGTACTACCACTACACTACTACTGTACTACTACTGTACTACTACTGTACTACCACTATACTACCACTATACTACTACTGTACTACCACTATACTACTACTGTACTACTACTGTAGTACTACTATCATGCTAAAGCTAGAGATTCTGTAGTATTTGATTACAGAGTTATTGTTCATGTTTCTTGTGCTGTGTGCTCCTCCACTTCCCCACTGTGTATATAGATTTGTGTCTATCTGTATACAGTCTATTATGCTAACCCGCTAGCTCAATTTAGCCCAATAGGGAAGTGCTCATAAATGAAGTTTGGCTCCTCTCTTTGGGTCCTATTGACTTCCATGTAAAAGTAAACATAGCTCAGTAACGTTTGTGACATCACCCTTCCCTCTCTGTGATCTTGTGGTTCATAAGTATGAACCACAGGTATGACCATATAAAGACGCCTTCATTCAGGTGGAAACTCCAGCTTAGCAACCGTCAAAATATTCTAATTTCACTAATACTTGTATTATATAGATATAATTTTGACAATTCTATTACTTCGTTAAACAGCTCAGCGGGGCAGGGCCTGGTTAGTGCTGTGATGGGAGACCTCAGGGATCACCAGGTGCCACAGTGGGGTGGCTGCAGCTGTAAAGCGCCAAACTGAGGCTGTGTCCTTGGGCAAGACACTTCCCCCAGAGAGAGAGAGGGTTGGGGATGACGTGCTCGTGGATCTTGTTCTTTATCTTCATCCATCCATTTTCTACCCTTTAATCCATTTCTGGGTCAGGGGGGTGACAGTCAGAGATGCCACCCAAGTCTCATAGCACCAGCCCCTCACTGACCCTCTGCAGGTGGTGAGTCCACAGGAGCTGAGATCTTCCAGCGGGGGCTTTAGGCAAAGTGGGTTTAAGTGTCTTGCCCAAGGACACAACAACAGCAGTCATCAGTGGGAGTCGGTGGAGAAGGTGTAGAGGTGGGAATTGAACCCACGACCTTCTGGCCTTCTGGCCAATGCTCTACCAACTGAGCTACTGTCGCCCCTATTCTTTATCTGTCGCTGCTAAATAGAGTAACTTTGTATTGTACCTTTTTCCAGTCATTTGCACGTTCTCCTCATGCTGCTACATGTTGATGATGGGAACTGTAGCTTCTTCTCGAACTTTCACTTTTTACTGAACTGAATTTCCTCTGTTTGTGTTTGTTTTGTTTCCACAGATGGAGCTGGAGCTAAATCTGCTGCATCTTTAAAAGTCACGGCACATAGTCTTTAATAAACTAAGCTTTGATGGTTTCCTGGACCATGTGGAGGACCATGTGGAGGGTCCTCTGAGTCTGTGTTTCCACCTGAAGCTTGGACTGAACCTCTTTGTTGCGTCTCACTTTAGCCACGTTAGCATCCAACTGCAGCTCAACCATTAAAGGTACAGGAGGAGGTTCTACTTCCTGGTGCATCATCGACACCATTGGTCCTCCACCTGTCAATCATTCTGGTGACACGTCCAATAAGACCAGAGAGATTTGTTCATAAGAATTTCAACCGACCAATCAGCAAGCGCGGGAGGCAGGTGTTGTAGTTAGTTGTGGGTGACGTCAAGAGTTTGCGTCGAACGGGCAGGTTGTAGTTTGGTGAAGAATGCGATAGTAAAGTAATCCGGTCTGGTTCTATCAAGAAACTGAAGCAGGAGCAAAAGAACAAAGCTTTAGCCATCTCCGTTAGCAGCAAAGGAGATGGCTAAAGCTAGGCTAAATGCTAAATGCTAACAACTCACTCAGGCTCATTACATACGTCACAGTAAACTCAGATCCAATGGTTTCAATCTGCAAAAGGAGTTAGCCCCTCCCACCTGTTCACGGAGTCAATGGAGACAATCCAGACCTTAGTATGAAATGTCATTTGTACTATGGTGTGGTAAGACCAGGCTAGTACAAACGTGACTCAGTGGTACAAGCCTAGTACCTTTGCATAAGCCCAGAGTGTGCTCCACTTCTCTGGGTAAATTGCTTCTGTAACCTCCTGTAACCGTCTATAATTGTCCGTCCCTGAAGAGCGCTGATAATACTTGGTCTGCACAGATTCTCAGGTTATTGTCGTCGTCCAGATATTTATTTATTCTTAGAAACAAAAGTCCTGACGCCTTCCGAATAATTATCTATTTCTGTAAACGAAGAAAATAAGTCAGAAAATGGAAAAAATTTATTAATCTGATTCTGACTGAGCCTAAAACTAGATTTTCCAACGGGACAAAAACAGAATTAACTAGTTTTAAAAAGATACAGAAATGTGTCGTTTGGAATGAGGAAGAAAGCATCAGTTCTGGAAATAAAACTCCTGTTGGAGAATCTGGTTTGAACTCAGTCAGAATGTGTTGGATTAAGATGCAAAAAAAAAACAATTCAAGCTTTTATTACCTCAGATTTGATGTTTTTTCAGTGTATGAGTCAGACATGTCTCCTTTGCCTTTGGCCTGAACATGGATAGAGCGGAAGTTCTCCAGGTCTGCCATGTCTCTGGTCCCAGTTTGATCTCTGGTCCCAGTCTGGTCCCAGTCTGGTCCCAGTCCGATCTCAGTCTGATCTCAGTCAGTTCCCAGTCCGTTCCCTGGTCTCAGTCCGTTCTCAGTCCGTTCCCTGGTCTCAGTCCGTTTTCAGTCCGTTCCCTGGTCTCAGTCCGTTCTCAGTCCGTTCCCTGGTCTCAGTCCGTTCTCAGTCCGTTCCCTGGTCTCAGTCCGTTCTCAGTCCGTTCCCTGGTCTCAGTCCGTTTTCAGTCCGTTTCCTGGTCTCAGTCCGTTCTCAGTCCGTTCCCTGGTCTCAGTCCGTTTTCAGTCCGTTCCCTGGTCTCAGTCCGTTCTCAGTCCGTTCCCTGGTCTCAGTCCGTTCTCAGTCCGTTCCCTGGTCTCAGTCCGTTTTCAGTCCGTTCCCTGGTCTCAGTCCGTTCTCAGTCCGTTCCCTGGTCTCAGTCCGTTCTCAGTCCGTTCCCTGGTCTCAGTCCGTTCTCAGTCCGTTCCCTGGTCTCAGTCCGTTCTCAGTCCGTTCCCTGGTCTCAGTCCGTTCTCAGTCCGTTCCCTGGTCTCAGTCCGTTCTCAGTCCGTTCCCTGGTCTCAGTCCGTTTTCAGTCCGTTCCCTGGTCTCAGTCCGTTCTCAGTCCGTTCCCTGGTCTCAGTCCGTTCTCAGTCCGTTCCCTGGTCTCAGTCCGTTCTCAGTCCGTTCCCTGGTCTCAGTCCGTTTTCAGTCCGTTCCCTGGTCTCAGTCCGTTCCCTGGTCTCAGTCCGTTTTCAGTCCGTTCCCTGGTCTCAGTCCGTTCTCAGTCCCGTCCCTGGTCCCAGTCCGTGGTCGTACCTGCCCAGCCCAGACCAGGACGTCTCCACTTACTTGACAGACTTGGACATGGACTTGTCTAGTTTCCCGGTGCTTCCTGGAGACTCGTTCCTCCTCCGTAAGAAAGCCAGACGGTTCTTCATGTCTTTGGCCCTGCAGTGAAACAAACAAATCAGAAAGTGGTTCAGAGTCCGAGTCATCGTCGTCAATTCATCCAAACGCTCAAATCCACCGCAGTCCAAGTTCCAGGAAGTGGCCGTGGCTTTCTGATAATCCCACTCAAAAGCAACAACAAGAAAAGTAAAAGAGAAGTTGTGAAAGTTTACATTTCTGAGGTGTGTGGGATCAGCTGCTCCTCGCTCAGCTCTGCTCGTTATGTTCCATCGAGCTCTACTTTCTCTGATGTGCCGCAGTGACAGGTCCTCAGCTGGGACTGTGCCAGAGGAGGAGAGAGACCCAGCCCTCACTCTGCCTCTGTCTCTGCCTCTGCTGGGGCCCATAGGGGGCGCTAAAGAGGGGGACGCTGAAGAGGGGGACGCGGAAGAGGGGGACGCTGAAGAGGGGGACGCTGAAGAGGGGGACACCAAAGAGGGGGACACCAAAGAGGGGGACACCAAAGAGGGGGACACCAAAGAGGGGGACTCTGAGTCTGACCTGACCCTGAGACCTGCTCCAAACTGGAAAACAGCTGTGCACAAACATTCAATGGAACTACACAGTCTCTGACCTCTGACCCTGGCTCCCCTGGTGCCTGTGCTGCTGGTCCCTGACTTCTGACCCTGGCTCCCCTGGTGCCTGTTCTGATGGTCCCTGACCTCTGACCCTGGCTCTCCTGGTACCTGTGCTGATGGTCTCAGTGGGAGGTGACCTCACTCGACACCATTTCCGGAGTCTCTGTTTTTGATTTCCACTGTGGGCTGAGGAGCTGTAATGAGGCGTGTGGCCCAGTCCTGGTACACGCCGTCCCCATGGTCCTCCCCATGGTCCTCCCCATGGTCCTCCCCATGGTCCTCCCCATGGTCGTCCCCCATGGTCCCAGGAGGAGGTGCAGTCCCCGAATTAGAAAACGGTAACAGTCAGCGATGAGGAGTCACTGTTAATACACTGCAAAAAGTTAAATGGCTCAAATTTGACTAAATGTGTTTTAATCCGACACTTTGTGACTGTGGTAAAGACAAAGACTTTAGTCTGATCCAACAACTGTTTACTTCCTCATTTTTCTTTTTAAAACCAGATAATTTTCCTTTGTCCCGTTGGAGAATCTTGTTTAGGCTCAGTCAGAATGTGCTCATGTTATGATACATTTTACTTTGCTTTTCCTTGTGGCAGCGGCAGGTTCAGGTCTGGACCATGAAGGAGCTGCAGATGTGAAGAGTTCAGGTCTGAGGGAGCACAGGCCTAAGTTCTGTCAAGTCTGCCCCCGTGTGGACAAACACACACACTGCAGCTAACATGAGAGCTCACACAGATAGATAGATGTATCTAGAGAGAGAGATAGAGAGATAATATATAGGTCGATAGATAAATATACATAGAGATAAATGGATAGAGAGACAGAGAAACCCCCGTGAGGATAAACATGGAGGATGTTATGGTATAAATACTATGGTTATTGAATCCACACATGGTCTGCAGCCAAACACCATCACCCAGAGCTGAGGCTCATGGTCTTCACAAACTGACACTGCTCTGAGGATTATCACATCAGAGAAACTTTCACTCTGCTCCTTCTGTTCACACTCTGCTCCTTCTGTTCGCTCTGAGTGAAGACCACAAACACAAACTCATCTGTTACCGTGGGAACAGCGTTGATGGTTATAGGCCGCCATGGCACGTTGTACCTCATTATAAAGATATGGATCTAAACAAAACAACATGACATTAGTGCTGTCAGTTAAACGTGTTGTTCCTGGTCCAGTGACTACAACAACACTCTGGATATAGCTGTATCTGAGACCAGAGAGAGACCAGAGAGAGACCACAGTGAGACCAGAGAGAGACCAGAGAGAGACCACAGTGAGACCAGAGAGAGACCAGAGAGAGACCAGAGAGAGACCACAGTGAGACCAGAGAGAGACCACAGTGAGATCCACAGAGAGACCCACAGTGAGACCAGAGTGAGACTCACAGTGAGATCCACAGTGAGATCCACAGAGAGACCACAGTGAGACCCACAGTGAGACCACAGTGAGACCACAGTGAGACCCACAGTGAAACCACAGACAGACCACAGTGAGACCCACAGTGAAACCACAGTAAGACCACAGTGAGACCACAGTAAGACCACAGTAAGACCACAGAGAGACCACAGTGAGACCAGAGTGAGTGTGCAGGTGGAGGAGCAGAGGATGTGGTCTTGGTTCTATTAGCAGCAGATTCTCGTTATTCCCTCTCTGCGTGGCTCACATTCGGCGACGAATCGCACCCGCGGCTATTCCTGGTTTCCTGAAACTAGGCCTTCCTCTCTGGGAAAGCTCGGAACGCTCGGAACGCTCACCGGGGACACAGACCTGCAGCGGATCACAATGAGTCTCTTCCACCGCTGGTTTTTGCTTTTTGGTTCATTCTGAAACCGTACAGGACTTTCCCAAACCTTACCAAACCCTCCAGGACCTGCCTGGTGGCACAGTCCGCTCCAAAGAGTGAGAGAGGAAAGGTCAAGGGTCAGGTCTTTACAGAAATGCTTTTCCAGGACTCTGACTCTGACCTGTGTTTCTGAACCGCCGTTCAGAAACACAGGTCACACCGTTCAAAGCAATCATAACAAACACATTCACTGCAAAGAGTCATGGAAAATAAGTCAAGAATGGCTCAAATTTGTATCAGAATCATTTTTATCACCACCTAACAGGAAGTCACAGACGAGGAAACTGCTCTGGCTCAGTGCAAACAGAACAAGATACAGTCTGTCTTAATCTGACACATTCTGACTGAGATTAAACCAGATTCTCCAACGAGACAAAGGAAAATAATCTGGTTTTACAAAGACACAGAAATGTGTCTTTTGGAATGAGGAGGAAAGAAACTTCTTGGAATCAGACTAAATGTCTTTGTCTCGTTGGAGAATCTTTAAACAGTCACAATGTGTCAGATTAAGACTAAAAATACACTCTGGTTGAGCTTTTATTACACGGCAAGTTTATTTGTATAGCACAGTCCATGCACAAGGCGCCTCAAAGTGCTGAACAAGAAAGCATTAAAATCATAAATAATCACAAAACATTAAAAAGAAATATAAAATCCCTCAGTTGTAGCACAGCTAAACAGAACTGTCTTTAACCTGGTTTTAAACATTGTCAGAGAGGAGGCCTGTCTCACATCTTCAGGAAGATTGTTCCAGATTTTAGCAGCATGGATCTGAAAAGCAGCCTCCCCATGTTTAGTTCTGACTCTGGGCAGTAACAGGAGTCCAGTCCCTGTGCTCCTCAGAGTCCCAGAAGGAGGCCGGTCCCTGTGCTCCTCAGAGTCCCAGCAGGAGTCCAGTCCCTGTGCTCCTCAGAGTCCAGCAGGATTCCAGTCCCTGTGCTCCTCAGTCCCAGCAGGAGGCCAGTCCCTGTGCTCCTCAGAGTCCCAGCAGGAGTCCAGTCCCTGTGCTCCTCAGAGTCCCAGCAGGAGGCCAGTCCCTGTGCTCCTCAGAGTCCCAGCAGGAGTCCAGTCCCTGTGCTCCTCAGAGTCCCAGCAGGAGGCCAGTCCCTGTGCTCCTCAGAGTCCCAGCAGGAGTCCAGTCCCTGTGCTCCTCAGAGTCCCAGCAGGAGTCCAGTCCCTGTGCTCCTCAGAGTCCCAGCTCGTACAAACCGGAGCCTCGTTACTCTGAGGCTCGTTACTCTGAGGCTCGTTACTCTGAGGCTCGTTACTCTGAGGCTCGTTACTCTGAGGCTCGTTACTCTGAGGCTCGTTACTCTGAGGCTCGTTACTCTGAGCCTCGTTACTCTGAGGCTCAAATACCCTGAGCCTCGTTACTCTGAGCCTCGTTACTCTGAGGCTCGTTACTCTGAGGCTCGTTACTCTGAGCCTCGTTACTCTGAGGCTCGTTACTCTGAGCCTCATACTCTGAGCCTCGTTACTCTGAGCCTCATACTCTGAGCCTCGTTTCTCTGAGCCTCGTTTCTCTGAGCCTCGTTTCTCGAAGCCTCTGAGCCTCGTTACTCGGAGCCTCTGAGCCTCGTTACTCGGAGCCTCTGAGCCTCGTTACTCTGAGCCTCGTTACTCTGAGCCTCTAAGCCTCGTTACTCTGAGCCTCGTTACTCGGAGCCTCTAAGCCTCGTTACTCGGAGCCTCTAAGCCTCGTTACTCGGAGCCTCGTTACTCTGAGCCTCGTTACTCGGAGCCTCGTTACTCGGAGCCTCGTTACTCGGAGCCTCGTTACTCGGAGCCTCGTTACTCGGAGCCTCTGAGCCTCGTTACTCTGAGCCTCGTTACTCTGAGCCTCGTTACTCTGAGCCTCGTTACTCTGAGCCTCGTTACTCTGAGCCTCGTTACTCGGAGCCTCTAAGCCTCGTTACTCGGAGCCTCGTTACTCTGAGCCTCGTTACTCGGAGCCTCGTTACTCGGAGCCTCGTTACTCGGAGCCTCGTTACTCGGAGCCTCGTTACTCGGAGCCTCGTTACTCTGAGCCTCGTTACTCTGAGCCTCGTTACTCTGAGCCTCGTTACTCGGAGCCTCGTTACTCTGAGCCTCGTTACTCTGAGCCTCGTTACTCTGAGCCTCGTTACTCGGAGCCTCGTTACTCTGAGCCTCTTTACTCGGAGCCTCTAAGCCTCGTTACTCTGAGCCTCGTTACTCTGAGCCTCGTTACTCGGAGCCTCTGAGCCTCGTTACTCGGAGCCGTTTCTCTGAGCCTCGTTACTCGGAGCCTCGTTACTCGGAGCCTCGTTACTCGGAGCCTCGTTACTCGGAGCCTCGTTACTCTGAGCCTCGTTACTCTGAGCCTCTGAGCCTCGTTACTCGGAGCCGTTTCTCTGAGCCTCGTTACTCGGAGCCTCGTTACTCTGAGGCTCGTTACTCTGAGCCTCGTTTCTCTGAGCCTCGTTACTCTGAGCCTCGTTACTCTGAGCTTCGTTACTCTGAGCCTCGTTACACGGAGCCTCGTTACTCTGAGCCTCGTTACTCGGAGCCTCTGAGCCTCGTTACTCGGAGCCTCTGAGCCTCGTTACTCGGAGCCTCTGAGCCTCGTTACTCGGAGCCTCTGAGCCTCGTTACTCGGAGCCGTTTCTCTGAGCCTCGTTACTCTGAGCCTCGTTACTCTGAGCCTCGTTACTCTGAGCCTCGTTACTCGGAGCCTCTGAGCCTCGTTACTCGGAGCCGTTTCTCTGAGCCTCGTTACTCGGAGCCTCGTTACTCTGAGGCTCGTTACTCTGAGCCTCGTTTCTCTGAGCCTCGTTACTCTGAGCCTCGTTACTCGGAGCCTCGTTACTCGGAGCCTCGTTACTCGGAGCCTCGTTACTCGGAGCCTCGTTACTCTGAGCCTCGTTACTCTGAGCCTCGTTACTCTAAGCCTCGTTACTCTAAGCTTCGTTACGACAGCGGCCTCTACACGCCTCCGCGCCTGTAATCACGTTAGCTCGCCGCTGTATTGTCAGTCTGCCGCCGCTGCCGACACCAGCCCGAGCTCTCCTTGAATCCAACACAATCATTTGCATTCACACAAACACAAGAGTATGCTAATGTGGCGTTTCTCCTGCACATCCAGAAACTGACAGACACAGCGTTCAGGGCGGGTTCTGGCTCCCAACGTGTGAATGGAGGAGTGCGTTCGCTTGTTCGACCAATGTGTACGTTTTAAAACCTTGGGCCCAGGTATTTTTTACTGGACTTGTGATGAAATATTTAGTGTGTGTATTTATTAGTATCCACCCCCTCGCCTGGTAGACCCAGAACCGCAATGTTCTGGGGTCTACAGCCTCAGTCCTGGGTCTACAGCCTCAGTCCTGGATCTACAGCCTCAGTCCTGGGTCTACAGCCTCAGTCCTGGGTCTACAGCCTCAGTCCAGGATCTACAGCCTCAGTCCTGGGTCTACAGCCTCAGTCCTGGATCTACAGCCTCGGTCCTGGGTCTACAGCCTCGGTCCTGGGTCTACAGCCTCGGTCCTGGGTCTACAGCCTCGGCCCTGGATCTACAGCCTCAGTCCTGGGTCTACAGTCTCAGTCCTGGGTCTACAGCCTCAGTCCTGGGTCTACAGCCTCAGTCCTGGGTCTACAGCCTCGGTCCTGGATCTACAGCCTCAGTCCTGGGTCTACAGTCTCAGTCCTGGATCTACAGCCTCAGTCCTGGGTCTACAGCCTCAGTCCTGGGTCTACAGCCTCAGTCCTGGGTCTACAGTCTCAGTCCTGGGTCTACAGCCTCGGTCCTGGATCTACAGCCTCAGTCCTGGGTCTACAGTCTCAGTCCTGGATCTACAGCCTCAGTCCTGGGTCTACAGCCTCAGTCCTGGATCTACAGTCTCAGTCCTGGGTCTACAGCCTCGGTCCTGGATCTACAGCCTCAGTCCTGGGTCTACAGTCTCAGTCCTGGGTCTACAGCCTCGGTCCTGGGTCTACAGCCTCGGTCCTGGGTCTACAGCCTCGGCCCTGGATCTACAGCCTCAGTCCTGGGTCTACAGTCTCAGTCTTGGGTCTACAGCCTCAGTCCTGGGTCTACAGCCTCAGTCCTGGGTCTACAGCCTCGGTCCTGGATCTACAGCCTCAGTCCTGGGTCTACAGTCTCAGTCCTGGATCTACAGCCTCAGTCCTGGGTCTACAGCCTCAGTCCTGGGTCTACAGCCTCAGTCCTGGGTCTACAGTCTCAGTCCTGGGTCTACAGCCTCGGTCCTGGATCTACAGCCTCAGTCCTGGGTCTACAGCCTCAGTCCTGGGTCTACAGCGTCAGTCCTGGATCTACAGCCTCAGTCCTGGGTCTACAGCCTCAGTCCTGGGTCCACATCGTTCTGACGTCCTTCGAGACGACTGCTTTTGTGATTTCAGGCTTTTCAAAAACAAATGGAATTGAATGGATTTTTTCATCTCTGTCTCTGCGATCTCCAACACGGCTCTACAGTTTCATTGTGTATTACTGGTAAAAGACCCAGCGGCTCACGACTTAAGGCCGATATATTTGTCCCAGTTTTGCAGTTTATCAAAGGTAATCTCTGGGGATCAGCTCAGAGTGTGAACCGTTGACTTCCTGCCAGGACGCCTGATTAATAACAATAGTTTCTCAGCTCTGTTATGTGAGATCAATCAGGGACGACCTTTGCATGGAGACATTTCTATTAAACATCCAGAAACATGGAGGCAATTCCACTCTGCGACGGGAGCACGGGACCATGAAGCTGCTGTTATCGATGTGAGTGAGACCAGGAGAGGTTTTTTGTATGGCACAGTTCATACACAAGGCAACTCGGAGTGCTGCACAAAACAAGATATGGAACTTTCAGATATGGCTTTAAAATCATAAATATTTACAGTACTTTTAAAAAGTCCTTAAAACAAACTGTTTTTTAACCTGGATTTGAAAATTCTCAGAGAAAAAGCCTGTCTCACATTTTCAGGAAGACTGTTCTAGCTGCAAAAAATTCAACTGATGCCTCCCCATGTTTAGTCCTGACTCTGGGACCAGCCGGAGGCCTGTCCTAGTCCCTATGTTTTTGATCCTGGCAATGTTTTTTAGATGGTAAAAAGCTGCTGATGTTACTGATTTGATGTGGCTATTAAAATTTAAGTCTGAGTCCAGTATTACCCCTAGATTTCTGACCTTGTTTGAAGGTTTTAGGGAGAGAGACTGTAGGTGACAGATGACGCTCTCTCTTTGTTTCTGGGGACCAAAGACAATCATTTCAGTTTTGTCTGAGTTTAGCTGAAGGAAGTTGTTTGCATCCACTCACTGATCTGTTGGATACAGTGAAGGAGTGAGTCCACTGGTCCATGTTCTCCTGCAGTCAGTGAGACATAGATCTGAGTGTCGTCTGCATAGTTATGATAGGAAACTTTGTTTCTGCGTATTAACTGACCTAACGGCAGCATGTAGAGATTGAACAGAAGAGGTCCCAGGATCGACCCCTGTGGGACTCCACAGGTCAGGGCCATATGATCTGAGACACAGTTTCCAATCTCCACAAAGTACTTCCTGTCCGCACACAGTCAAGAGGCAAATACAGATATCTCAAACTGCAGGACCTAAAAAATAAGTGATTTAATAAAAGTGAAATAATATAAAATCCAGAGTAAATATATAAAACGTTTTCAAACCGGGGTGAACACAAAAACCAGGAGATGTGGAAATGACAGAACAGAGATCGAAGGAACACACAAGGTTTAAATACACAAAACTAATGAGACACTGGTGACACACATGAGGACAGGCTACACAACAGGAAGTAGAGCTAAGGCAGGCATGTCCAAACTCAGGCCCGGGGGCTAATTGCGGCCCTCAGTGTCATTGTATGTGGTCCTCTGCCTCGCTAACCCAAAGCAGACTGAGATCATCAACACAAGTTCACTGTGTCATCCATCCAACTTCAGCTCAGCCAAAATAGACCTTGTTCTAAAGCCCACTTCGTCGTTGACTTCATATGCACATACAGCACTGACATGTTTTTTGGTCTCAGAAACGTATATTAATGTTGCTAATGAAGCTGGTGAGATGGTAAACATGTGTCATTCAGCCAACTTCAGCTCCCTTTATAGATCATCATAAAGCTCCCAACAACCCGATGCCAGTCCAGACAGTTTCTCAGTCCGTGATGTCGGCCCCTGGACTAGTCTGGTGAACTAAAGTGGCCTCTTACTGTAAAGTTTGGACACCCCTGAACTAAGGGGTTGACAAATAACAAAACAAAAGAATAAATAAAGGTCGACAGCCGTGAGGGAAAGCGCACTGCCCAAAGTGTGTGGCTGAGGTGTTACATTATGAATGCAGAGACCTCGGGCTTCCATTAGCTGATAGTGCGTGTTGTTAAAAATACTTGGGAAAAGGACTTCACAGTTCGAGGTTAATTGTTTTATTCAGTGCCTCTCGGAGAACTCCAAATGCTTTTATAATTTAAATGTGAAGCACTTTGAGCAGACATCAGCGTTTCAGACTAATGGGCCTCGATGCTTTACATAAGCTTTGTTTTTCTCCTATTTTTTGACTTTTCCGTGTGCAAGGCAAGTTTATTTGTATCGCACAGTTCATACACAAGCAACTCTAACACTGAAATCACAACGCTTTGAAATCATAATCACGCTTCTGAGTGGAGTTTGCATGTTCTCACCGTGTCTGCGTAGGGTTCCTGCAAGTGCTCCGGTTTCTCTACCACTAAAAACATGCACAATAGGTCTGAATGTAGTGAGTGAGTGAATGGAGGGTGTTTGGTCGGAGGCTTTAATGGACCAGTGTGTTCAGCGTCTCGCTTCTGTCGTCACCGTGTGGAGAGAATGGAACAATATCTGAATTTGGGAGAACTTGATCTGTAAAAATGTGTTATATAAATAAATATTACTTACTTACCACCACTGTGTACAGATCTCCAATACAGATGCAGTACAGGAAGTGCATGTATATATTTTTTATCACCAAATATAGGTCATGTCCCTTTTTAGAATCATTTTGAGTTAGTTTTACCCTTGTGTGTCCTGTGCCGCGTGTCTTTAAAACAACTTTGACCACGGTGCATACATTTGGAAGCAATTTTCCAGTGCATTGCGTTGGCCATATTCCCGAGAGAGGAACCTGACTCTCGCTCTGGGACCGGCAGGAGGCCAGTCCCTGTGCTCCTCAGAGTCCTAGTCCCTGTGCTCCTCAGAGTTGGTCCATATGGCACTAACATGTCACTATGTACTTTTGGAGAGACTTGTAAAAAACAGAGCTGCTCTTGAGTCTAGGGATGTAAATCGGTGACCGTTTAACCGGTGGTTGACCGTCACAGCGTTAACCGGTCAAAGCTGTCGGTTAAAAAAAGAGAAAAAGGGGAGAGGGGAGGTCTCTTAATAACGCTATTTTAAGCCCTTTTTGCACAATGTGACGAGCGGGTCTGTCTCTAGCTGTGTGCGCCAATGTATTAATAAACTCCGCGCCGACTCTCACGCCGCGCACGCGCACACACGCACACACTTTCCCTCCCTCCATTGATACGTAACGTCCACACGCATCATCTCTCCCCTCTGTTACCGCCTGCTAGTTGCAAACTGGCACGGGTCAGAACTACATTGGGGCTTATATTTACATACACGTACATGTATTGTACACACACACATACCGGTCTGTCGCGCTCCTCTGTGTCACGGAGCCCAAAAGATCCGTGCAAATACGCGGCTCCAGTCAAGATAAGATAACATAAGATTTATTATTTTACTTTATCTCACAAGGAGGAAAAGCACATGAAACATGTTTGTGCTGCTGGTCCTTGGCATTAGATCAGCTCCACACACATCACTTTTAAACTTAAGCGGAGACCTGCGAGACACGGCGCATCACACGCTGCTCTGACCATGTGAACGAGCCGTCTTTTGCTTAAAAATCCTTTAACCCTCAGCACAGCAGAATGGGAAGATTAAAACAGCAGTTCTCTGTGCGCAAAAGGTCCCAAAGCTGTTGCGGGTTTTGGCGCCGCTGTCTCGGCTCTGATCCATTAGAACGCAGAGCTGCTCTTATGATAAGTACGCGGCTCGAAAAGGCTGTTATTTCAAAGAACGTGGATTATTTTAAACTACGCGGTTAACCGGTTTCAACCGGTTAATGAGGCTCGGTGGTCGGTCATGAAAATTCATAGTTTTTTACATCCCTACTTGAGTCTATTCTCTGAGCCACAGGAAGCAGAGACCTGAGACCGGGACAAATGCGATGGTACTTCCTGGTTCTAGGCTGGACTAATGTGACACTACTTCCTGGTTCTAGTCTGGACTAATGTGACACTACTTCCTGATTCTAGTCTGGACTAATGTGACAATACTTCCTGGTTCTAGTCTGGACTAATGTGACACTACTTCCTGGTTCTAGTCTGGACTAATGCGATGGTACTTCCTGGTTCTAGTCTGGACTAATGTGATGCTACTTCCTGGTTCTAGTCTGGACTAACGTGATGCTACTTCCTGATTCCAAGCTGGACTAATGTGATGGTACTTCCTGGTTCTAGTCCGGACTAATGTGATGGTACTTCCTGGTTCTAGTCCGGACTCGAGCTTCGTCCTTCGTCCTGTGTCCCGTGTCTTTAAAGCAACTTCGACCATGATGCAAACATTTGGAAGCAACATTCCCGAGAGCGGAGCCAGACTCTGGTTCCGGAGCGAGAGTCGGGCCCCGGAGCCAGACTCTGGTTCCGGAGCGAGAGTCGGGCCCCGGAGCCAGACTCTGGTTCTGGAGCGAGAGTCGGGCCCCGGAGCCAGACTCTGGTTCTGGAGCGAGAGTCGGGCCCCGGAGCCAGACTCTGGTTCTGGAGCGAGAGTCGGGCCCCGGAGCCAGACTCTGGTTCTGGAGTGAGAGTCGGGCCCCGGAGCCAGACTCTGGTTCTGGAGCGAGAGTCGGGCCCCGGAGCCAGACTCTGGTTCTGGAGCGAGAGTCGGGCCCCGGAGCCAAACCGCTCGACCTCCTTAAGTACACGGGAGCGCAGCAGCCACATCTTTCTCTCTTTTATGCAGCGTTTATTGGACTTTTAATCATATCCCAAATCTTTATGGAGCCGTGATAACTTTACGAGAGCAGCCATGTTATTTATGGACTGAGTAATAGAATTTTGTGTCTTACATGAACTTATCAGGATTCACACCGAGGTTAGAAGAATAATGTTAGGAGAGTGCGACACATGGCACTAACTCTCAGTGGATTCTACAGTCATTAACCGTGTGTCATGAAGCGGGAGATGAAAACGACAAATATCACATTCAGACGATTTTTTTATAAAGCACAGTTCAAACAAAAGGCAACTCTTCACAAAACAAGAAAGAAACATTGAAATCATACAAAGGACTGCAATCACAAATAATCACAGTACATTAAAAAGAAAAAAGGTAAAATCAGTTTTAGTACAGTTAAACATTATGTTTTTAACCTGGATTTGAACATTGTCAGAGAAGAAGCCTGTCTCTCATTTTCAGGAAGATTGTTCCAGATTTTAGCTGCATGATTCTGAAATGTAGCCTCCTCATGTTTAGTCCTGATTATGGGACCAGCAGGAGGCCAGTCCCTGTGCTCCTCAGAGTCCCAGCAGGAGGCCAGTCCCTGTGCTCCTCAGAGTCCCAGCAGGAGGCCAGTCCCTGTGCTCCTCAGAGTCCCAGCAGGAGTCCAGTCCCTGTGCTCCTCAGAGTCCCAGCAGGAGGCCAGTCCCTGTGCTCCTCAGAGTCCCAGCAGGAGGCCAGTCCCTGTGCTCCTCAGAGTCCCAGCAGGAGACCAGTCCCTGTGCTCCTCAGAGTCCCAGCAGGAGGCCAGTCCCTGTGCTCCTCAGAGTCCCAGCAGGAGACCAGTCCCTGTGCTCCTCAGAGTTGGTTCATATGGCACTAACATGTCACTTTGTACTTTGGTGCGAGGCCATGGAGAGACTGAGCCACAGGAAGCAGAGACCTGAGACCAGGACTAATGTGATGGTACTTACTGGTTCTAGTCAGGACTAATGTGATGTTACTTCCTGTTCTATCCTGGACTGATGTGATGTTACTTCCTGGTTCTAGTCAGGACTAATGTGATGGTACTTCCTGGTTCTAGTCAGGACTAATGTGATGGTACTTCCTGGTTCTAGTCAGGACTAATGTGATGGTACTTCCTGGTTCTAGTCTGGACTAATGTGATGTTACTTCCTGTTCTATCCTGGACTAATGTGATGGTACTTCCTGGTTCTAGTCTGGACTAATGTGATGTTACTTCCTGTTCTATCCTGGACTAATGTGATGCTACTTCCTGGTTCTAGTCAGGACTAATGTGATGGTACTTCCTGTTCTATCCTGGACTAATGTGATGGTACTTCCTGGTTCTAGTCAGGACTAATGTGATTCTACTTCCTGTTCTATCCTGGACTAATGTGATGCTACTTCCTGGTTCTAGTCAGGACTAATGTGATGCTACTTCCTGTTCTATCCTGGACTAATGTGATGCTACTTCCTGGTTCTAGTCAGGACTAATGTGATGGTACTTCCTGTTCTATCCTGGACTAATGTGATGGTACTTCCTGGTTCTAGAGACCCGTGAGCAGTTGTTACAGTCTGACCGGAGACAAAAGCAGAATAACGATCGCCAAGACTTAGACACTGTATTTTTGATCCCGGCTGTTGTTTTTCAGCTACTTGCTCAGGTGTGTACACAGGTGTGTCGCCCCCTTGTGTGTGTGGTTGTCATTGGACTCACTGCGGTCCTGTGTGTGTTGTTGCATTCGGACTCACTGCGGTTCTGTGTGTGTTGTCGTAGTCGGAGGCGTGTTCGGACCACAAGGAGAGTCTGGCTCTGAACCAGAAGACGACAACCAGATGAAGTTCTACACAGAGCAGCACAGGGGGCGCCGGAGGACCAAAGGTACAGGTCACTATCACACACACACATGCACACACATACATACACACACACACACACACACACACACATACAAGCACACACGCACACACACATACACACACACACACACACACACACACATACAAGCACACACACACACACACACACATGCACACACATACATGCACACACATACATACACACACACACACACACACATACAAGCACACACGCACACACACATACATACACACACACACACACACACACATACAAGCACACACATACACACACACACACACACACACACACATGCACACACATACATACACACACACACACATACAAGCACACACATACATACACACACACATACACACACACACACACACACACACACACATACATACACACACACACACACACACACACACACACACACACACATACACACACACACACACACACACACACACACATGCACACACATACATACACACACACATACATACACACACACACACACACACACACATGCACACACATACATACACACACACATACACACACACACACACACATACACGTTTTTGTTACCTGGTGGGTCCCTTTGACAGGGCCGTTCAGAATGGGACCCATAGACATAATCTTTTTTTACCAAGACTTTAAGTAATACAAAACAGTCAATAGAAACCAAACAACTATTTTAAAGGAATTTTATTTTAGATTTTGTTTTCGAATTGCAGTGATTCTATTTTTGACATAGAATTTAATGCCACTCCATGTCCGATGTCTAAGGTCATCTGGTGAGGCATTAATGCAGGCCAGGCAGTGAGACTTCCCAGGGACCTTTCCAGTCTGTATGAAAGGTGTCATGGTCTTCTCCACAGCCTTCACCTCAGATGCAGACCATGGCTTTCTTACACGTTCTAGGGAGAGAAATAAAAATATATTAGCAATATACACTCCCAGGGTGAGGACCAAGCAGCCTGGCTGTAATCCCCCACCTGGTACACTTACCAGAAGGGGCACTGCCACTACCATGGGGTGCATCTGGATGAATGGTTGAAGGTTCTCCGCTTGAAGTTTCTTTTAGCCCGTCCGTTTGTGAGAGGATCTCTACTGCTCTCCCTGTCGCACAGAAAATAAAAATACAAGTGGCCTTTAGGGGAAAAAAATCATACATATTTTAATAATATCAAGAATTACCTTCAGGCTCAATTTGTATCTGGTCGAGGCTCTTTCCTTCGAATTCCGTCACTCTTCCCTGCTCCATGGCCATCAACACTTTGCTGATTTTGGCCAGCTCCAGTGTCCCCTCTGGTAGTCTGTAATATTGCCTGTGGATGCGAATGTCATGGCCGAGGAAGTTGGCAAGTATGTCCATCTCATTCTCTTTCATATTGAGAACTGTAGACATAGTAGCTATGTGCTTTCTAAGTTTGGTTGAGGATAGCATCTCTGGATGCACCGCACCACATTCTTTGGCTACCTGGCGTAGGGAGTCTGATCCCCTGATGTGGGTGTCTGCGCCCGGGCGGGAAAAGAAGTATGGGTTATGGTCAGAGATGGAACAGGCCCTTCTGTCTACTCTACTCTACTCTAGCCTCCCCTCTACTCTACTCTACTCTACTCTACCCTACTCTATTCTACTCTACTCTACTCTACTCTACTCTAGCCTCCCCTCTACTCTACTCTACTCTACTTTACCCTACTCTACTCTACTCTACTCTACTCTACTTCTACTCTATTCTACTCTATTCTACTCTACTCTACTCTAGCCTCCCCTCTACTCTACTCTACTCTACTTTACCCTACTCTATTCTACTCTATTCTACTCTACTCTACTCTAGCCTCCCCTCTACTCTACTTTACCTCTACTCTACTCTACTCTACTCTACTTTACCCTACTCTATTCTACTCTACTCTACTCTACCTCCCCTCTACTCTACTCTACTCTACTTTACCCTACTCTATTCTACTCTATTCTACTTTACCCTACTCTAGCCTACTCTACTCTACTCTACTTTACCCTACTCTCTACTCTATTCTACTCTATTCTACTCTATTCTACTCTATTCTACTCTATTCTACTCTACTCTACTCTATTCTAGCCTCCCTCTACTCTACTCTACTCTACTTTACCCTACTCTATTCTACTCTATTTACTCTACTCTACTCTAGCCTCCCTCTACTACTTTACCCTACTCTACTCTACTCTACTCTACTACTCTATTCTCTACTCTAGCCTCCCCTCTACTCTACTCTACTCTACTTTACCCTACTCTATTCTACTCTACTCTACTCTACTCTACTCTACCCTACTCTACTTACTCTACTCTACTCTACTCTATTCTACCTCTACTCTACTCTACTCTACTCTATTCTACTCTATTCTACTCTATTCTACTCTATTCTACTCTACTCTAGCTCCCCTCTACTCTACTCTACTCTTTACCCTACTCTATTCTACTCTATTCTACTCTACTCTACTCTAGCCTCCCCTCTACTCTACTCTACTCTACTTTACCCTACTCTATTCTACTCTACTTACTACTCTACTCTACTCTACTCTAGCCTCCCCTCTACTCTACTCTACTTTACCCTACTCTATTCTACTCTATTCTACTCTACTCTACTCTAGCCTCCCCTCTACTCTACTCTACTCTACTTTACCCTACTCTATTCTACTCTACTCTACTCTAGCCTCCCCTCTACTCTACTCTACTCTACTTTACCCTACTCTATTCTACTCTATTCTACTCACTCTACTCTAGCCTCTACTCTACTCTACTCTACTCTACTTTACCCTACTCTATTCTACTCTACTCTACTCTAGCCTCCCCTCTACTCTACTCTACTTTACCCTACTCTACTCTACTCTATTCTACTCTACTCTAGCCTCTCTACTCTACTCTACTCTACTTTACCCTACTCTACTCTACTCTATTCTACTCTACTCTACTCTTTAGCCTCCCCTATCTACTCTACTCTACTCTACTCTACCTCCCCTTACTACTCTACTTTCCCTACTCTATTCTACTCTACTCTACTCTAGCCTCCCCTCTACTCTACTCTACTCTACTTTACCCTACTCTATTCTACTCTACTCTACTCTAGCCTCTACTCTACTCTACTCTACTCTACTTTACCCTACTCTATTCTACTCTACTCTACTCTAGCCTCTACTCTACTCTACTCTACTCTACTTTACCCTACTCTATTCTACTCTACTCTACTCTAGCCTCCCCTCTACTCTACTCTACTTTACCCTACTCTATTCTACTCTACTCTACTCTAGCCTCCTCTACTCTACTCTACTCCCTACTCTATTCTACTCTACTCTACTCTAGCCTCTACTCTACTCTACTCTACTCTACTTTACCCTACTCTATTCTACTCTACTCTACTCTAGCCTCCCCTCTACTCTACTCTACTTTACCCTACTCTATTCTACTCTACTCTACTCTAGCCTCCCCTCTACTCTACTCTACTTTACCCTACTCTATTCTACTCTACTCTACTCTAGCCTCTACTCTACTCTACTCTACTCTACTTTACCCTACTCTATTCTACTCTACTCTACTCTAGCCTCCCCTCTACTCTACTCTACTTTACCCTACTCTATTCTACTCTATTCTACTCTACTCTAGCCTCCCTCTACTCTACTCTAGCCTCCCCTCTACTCTACTCTAGCCTCCCCTCTACTCTACTCTACTTTACCCTACTCTATTCTACTCTATTCTACTCTACTCTACTCTAGCCTCCCCTCTACTCTACTCTACTTTACCCTACTCTATTCTACTCTACTCTACTCTAGCCTCCCCTCTACTCTACTCTACTCTACTTTACCCTACTCTATTCTACTCTACTCTACTCTAGCCTCTACTCTACTCTACTCTACTCTACTTTACCCTACTCTATTCTACTCTACTCTACTCTAGCCTCCCCTCTACTCTACTCTACTTTACCCTACTCTATTCTACTCTATTCTACTCTACTCTAGCCTCCCCTCTACTCTACTCTACTTTACCCTACTCTATTCTACTCTATTCTACTCTACTCTACTCTAGCCTCCCCTCTACTCTACTCTACTTTACCCTACTCTATTCTACTCTATTCTACTCTACTCTACTCTAGCCTCCCCTCTACTCTACTCTACTCTACTTTACCCTACTCTATTCTACTCTACTCTACTCTAGCCTCCCCTCTACTCTACTCTACTCTACTTTACCCTACTCTATTCTACTCTACTCTACTCTAGCCTCCCCTCTACTCTACTCTACTCTACTTTACCCTACTCTATTCTACTCTATTCTACTCTACTCTACTCTAGCCTCCCCTCTACTCTACTCTACTTTACCCTACTCTATTCTACTCTATTCTACTCTATTCTACTCTATTCTACTCTATTCTACTCTATTCTACTCTACTCTAGCCTCCCCTCTACTCTACTCTACTCTACTACTCTCTATTCTACTCTATTCTACTCTACTCTACTCTAGCCTCCCCTCTACTCTACTCTACTCTACTTTACCCTACTCTACTCTACTCTACTCTACTTTACCCTACTCTATTCTACTCTACTCTACTCTAGCCTCCCCTCTACTCTACTCTACTCTACTTTACCCTACTCTATTCTACTCTATTCTACTCTACTCTACTCTAGCCTCCCCTCTACTCTACTCTACTCTACTTTACCCTACTCTATTCTACTCTACTCTACTCTAGCCTCCCCTCTACTCTACTCTACTTTACCCTACTCTATTCTACTCTATTCTACTCTACTCTACTCTAGCCTCCCCTCTACTCTACTCTACTCTACTTTACCCTACTCTATTCTACTCTACTCTACTCTAGCCTCCCCTCTACTCTACTCTACTCTACTTTACCCTACTCTATTCTACTCTACTCTACTCTACTCTAGCCTCTACTCTACTCTATTCTACTCTACTCTACTCTAGCCTCTACTCTACTCTACTCTAGCCTCTACTTTACCCTACTCTATTCTACTCTACTCTACTCTAGCCTCCCCTCTACTCTACTCTACTCTACTCTACTCTACTCTACTCTACTCTACTCTACTCTAGCCTCCCCTCTACTCTATTCTACTCTACTCTACTCTAGCCTCTACTCTACTCTACTCTACTTTACCCTACTCTATTCTACTCTACTCTACTCTAGCCTCTACTCTACTCTACTCTACTCTACTTTACCCTACTCTATTCTACTCTACTCTACTCTAGCCTCCCCTCTACTCTATTCTACTCTACTCTACTCTAGCCTCTACTCTACTCTACTCTAGCCTCTACTTTACCCTACTCTATTCTACTCTACTCTACTCTAGCCTCCCCTCTACTCTACTCTACTCTACTCTACTCTACTCTAGCCTCTACTCTACTCTACTCTACTCTACTTTACCCTACTCTACTCTACTCTACTCTACTCTACTCTACTCTACTCTACTCTACTCTACCTCTACTCTACTCTACTCTACTCTACTCTAGCCTCTACTCTACTCTACTCTACTCTACTTTACCCTACTCTATTCTACTCTACTCTACTCTAGCCTCTACTCTACTCTACTCTACTCTACTTTACCCTACTCTATTCTACTCTACTCTACTCTAGCCTCCCCTCTACTCTATTCTACTCTACCCTACTCTAGCCTCTACTCTACTCTATTCTACTCTACTCTACTCTAGCCTCTACTCTACTCTACTCTAGCCTCTACTTTACCCTACTCTATTCTACTCTACTCTACTCTAGCCTCCCCTCTACTCTACTCTACTCTAGCCTCCCCTCTACTCTACTCTACTCTAGCCTCCCCTCTACTCTACTCTACTCTACTTTACCCTACTCTATTCTACTCTACTCTACTCTAGCCTCTACTCTACTCTACTCTACTCTACTTTACCCTACTCTATTCTACTCTACTCTACTCTAGCCTCCCCTCTACTCTACTCTACTCTACTTTACCCTACTCTATTCTACTCTACTCTACTCTAGCCTCTACTCTACTCTACTCTACTCTACTTTACCCTACTCTATTCTACTCTACTCTACTCTAGCCTCCCCTCTACTCTATTCTACTTTACCCTACTCTATTCTACTCTACTCTACTCTAGCCTCCCCTCTACTCTACTCTAGCCTCCCCTCTACTCTACTCTACTCTACTCTACTCTACTCTACTCTACTCTACTCTACTCTACTCTACTCTACTCTACTCTACTCTACTCTACTCTACTCTACTCTACTCTACTCTACTCTACTCTACTCTACCTACTCTACCCTCACCTCCCCTCCCCTACCCTACTCTACTCTCTCCTGATTGGGAGTGTTTACTCTGGTCCTGTGTAACCAGTACCAGGTCCTTCTTTAGTCCCTCTTGGTCCTGGTTCTATCCAGGCCAAGCTGGTACTAAAGTGTGTTCTAACTGATAGTGATTGGGCAGAGTGCTGCTGGAAGCCATGGCTATCAGGAAATTTCCCTGGATACTGGTTTGCTGGTTGTTGCTTCGATACAGTACCAGATAGTAAAGTGGTAGAGTAGGGCAGAGTAGAGTCAAGTAAACTGGGCTTGAATGCAGTGACAGTGGACACATGTGGCACATATTGCACAGATGTATGGCCCTCCTGTGTGTTACCTTTCGGATAACATCCTGGCACGCCGCTGACCTCCCGACACTCCTCAGTTGGATCGCAGGAGTTATCCACACATTCCAGAGTGTAGTTCCCAACACAGCGACAGAGCTGGGAGCAGCCGTCTCCAAACACCACCTCACCAGGCTGAAGAAAAGACACACACGACTAGATTATTTATCTGTCACTGACACCTCTCTGGCCTTTCTCTGGTCTCTCTCTGGTCCTTCTCTCTTCTCTGGCCTCTCTTTAGTCTCTCTCTGGTCCCTTTCTCTTCTCTGGTCACTCTCTGGCCTCACTCTGGACTCTCTCTGGTCTTTCTCTAGTCTCTCTGGCCTCTCTTTGGTTTCTCTCTGTTTCTCTCTGGTCCCTTTCTCTTCTCTGGTCTCTCTCTGGCCTCTCTTTGGCCTCTCTTTGGCCCCTCTCTGGTCCCTCTCACTGGTCTCTCTCTAGGCTCACTCTGGACTCTCTCTGGTCTCTCTTTAGCCTCTCTCTGGCCTCTCTCTGGCCTCTCTCTGGCCTCTCTTTGGCCTCTCAATGATCCCCCTCACTGGTCTCTCTCTGGTCCCAGGGCTTGGCTCATAATCCCAGCCCCTAAAGGATCTTACAGAAGCTCATATAAAAGGACGCAGTATAGCACCAAAAGCGACTGAATTTGAAAGCCATAGAGAAGTCCTTACCTCATAGTAGTTGTTGTCGTGGTCCAGACAGCCGCACTTGTCCAGGGGCACACACCTCCGGCCCTTGAAGACATATCCAGGTTTGCAGAAGCAGCCGCTGATGCAGGAGCCCGAGCAATTGGTGGAAGGTTCCTGACAGCTGGGGATACAAGCTGGACCACAGTCGATGTACTCAGAATCAGGAGGACAGATGACTGTGGACCAGGAGCGGAACAAGGAGAACAAGCACGGTCATTTTAGAGGACCAGGAGAGGAACAAGCAGAACATTTTGGAAATACGCACTCGGAGGGGTGGTGGGTTTGGGTGTCGTTGGAAAGGTGGGTCTTGGTGTAGAGAAGGACCAGCTGAGGGTTTGGGTGTAGAAGGACCCAGAGGTCTGCACTGGTGCTCTCCTTCATGCAGCTCACAGATCTCGGTGGTAGGTTTACAGCTGCTGTTGTGACACTGGATCACTCCTCCACTGAGACACTGGCAGGTCTGCTCACAACCTGGGAGCAGCCAGCGGTCTCCAGCCTGAGCACAGGGACAAACAGCCTCAGTCCTGGGTCTACAGCCACAGTCCTGGATCTACAGCCTCAGTCCTGGGTCTACAGCCTCAGTCCTGGGTCTACAGCCTCAGTCCTGGGTCTACAGCCTCAGCCCTGGATCTACAGCCTCAGACCTGGGTCTACAGCCTCAGTCCTGGGTCTACAGCCTCAGTCCTGGGTCTACAGCCTCAGTCCTGGATCTACAGCCTCAGTCCTGGATCTACAGCCTCAGTCCTCTACAGCTTCAGTCCTGGGTCTACAGCCTCAGTCCTGGGTCTACAGCCTCAGTCCTGAGTCTACAGCCTCAGTCCTGGGTCTACAGCCTCAGTCCTGGGTCTACAGCCTCAGTCCTGGGTCTACAGCCTCAGTCCTGGGTCTACAGCCTCAGTCCTGGGTCTACAGCCTCAGTCCTGTCTCCTGTCAGAAACTTTGAAGCCCAATTAGGGCGTCGTCGCTCCATATTTTGCCGCTGCATGAGTAGCCGCTGCAGCTAACGTCATAAAACAGACTTCACCACAAACTTCTCACATTCAGAGGAAAAATCTGCATAATTGGTTCAGTTTTAACAACGAAAGATCGACTTTTTGGACTGAGAGATGGGACAAAAACTCAAACATTTTATAAAGTAAGTCAGAAGTCTGTATTTATATCACTGGGGAATGAGAAAACTTTCTCTGACACAGGGAGAACATGCAAATGCACAGAGGTCTGAAGGTGGGTAGGTCTGGAGACCAGAGAGAGAGACCAGAGAGAGACCAGAGAGAGAGAGACCAGAGAGAGACCAGAGAGACCAGAGAGAGAGACCAGAGAGAGACCAGAGAGACCAGAGAGAGAGACCAGAGAGAGAGACCAGAGAGAGACCAGAGAGAGACCAGAGAGAGGGACCAGAGAGACCAGAGAGAGAGACCAGAGAGAGACCAGAGAGAGACCAGAGAGAGAAACCAGAGAGACAGACCAGAGAGAGACCAGAGAGAGACCAGAGAGAGAGACCAGAGAGAGACCAGAGAGAGACCAGCGAGAGAGACCAGAGAGAGAGACCAGAGAGAGACCAGAGAGAGACCAGAGAGAGGGACCAGAGAGACCAGAGAGAGAGACCAGAGAGAGACCAGAGAGAGACCAGCGAGAGAGACCAGAGAGAGAGACCAGAGAGAGACCAGAGAGAGACCAGAGAGAGACCAGAGAGAGAATCAAAATCTGTGGTCTAGAACTCTCTGTGATCCTGGTGTTCTTGATTGACCAATCAGAGGCCTTCATTCAAGGGGAAACTCTAGACAAGCATCTTAGCAACACGTCTGCCCCTGTCACGGCAAAATGCTAACACCGTCAGAACGAATGCCCATATAAGGAAATATGCTCCAGCTAGCTTAAGTTCAAATCTGCTTCTACCACATTAACACTATGCTAACGTCACTCTCACAGTCCTAATATTTATGGGTTTTTGAGTAAAACCAGTAATTCGTTGTCAGTATGAATCAGGTATGCTAATGCTAATGCTAATGTGCAGGATTGTTGCTAATTTGGTCTTCTGTTTGAAATGCAGCGTGCTCTGGTCGTGTGATGTAGAAACCAAACCAACGCTCCCTTCTCTCCTCTCTCTGGTCTCTCTCTCTCTGGTCTCTCTCTGGTCTCTCTCTGGTCTCTTTCTGGTCTCTCTCTCTGGTCTCTTTCTGGTCTCTCTCTGGTCTCTTTCTAGTCTCTCTCTCTGGTCTCTCTCTCTGTTCTCTTTCTAGTCTATCTCTGGTCTCTTTCTCTGTTCTCTTTCTGGTCTCTCTAGTTGCTCTGGTCTCTCTCTTTCCTCAATGATACGGAAAAGAGATCATATCATATAGATACGGATTCTGATACAGAGGGGACCAGGACAAAATACCCCATCACACACACACACACACACACACACACACACACACACACACACACACACACACACACACACACACACACACACACACACACACACACACACACACACACACACACACACACAGTATCTCGCATAACCCCCGGGTGTATTATGGCTTTCTGTGTGTTTCTGGTTAAAGTCCCGTGTGTGTGTGTGTGTGTGTGTGTGAGTGTGTGTGTGTGTGTGTGAGTGAGTGTGTGTGTCTGTGTGTGTGTGTGTGTGTGTGTGTGAGTGTGTTTGTCTGTGTGTGTGTCTGTGTGTGTGTGTAGCTGAACAGATTTACAGTCCCAGCTGCTACGAGAAGGAGCCGCCTCAGACCAGAGCAGGAGAAAGCAAGTCACTGATGTCATAGTTCCTTTATGGTCTATTATTGAACCAGGAGCGGCTGCAGGTGTTCGGTCCAACCCAACAGGAGCACCGCAGACTACGCCCACTTCCTCCGGAGAGTCCAGAACCAGAATTATTTTTTAACTCCATAGTAATGGCGTTAAAAATAACTCTGAATCTGGACTCTCCTGAGGAAGTGGGCGGAGTCTGCGGTGCCTCCAGAGGAAGTGGGCGGAGTTTGTTGTGCCTCCTGAGAAAGTGGGTGGAGTCTGCTGTGCTCCTGAGAAAGTGGGCGGAGTCTGCTGTGCCTCCTGAGAAAGTGGGCGGAGTCTGCTGTGCTCCTGATAAAGTGGGCGGAGTTTGCTGTGCTTCCTGAGAAAGTGGGCGGAGTCTGCTGTGCCTCCTGAGAAAGTGGGCGGGGTCTGCTGTGTTCCTGAGAAAGTGGGCGGAGTCTGCTGTGTTCCTGAGAAAGTGGGCGGAGTCTGCTGTGCCTCCTGAGAAAGTGGGCGGAGTCTGCTGTGTTCCTGAGAAAGTGGGCGGAGTCTGCTGTGCCTCCTGAGAAAGTGGGCGGAGTCTGCTGTGCCTCCTGAGAAAGTGGGCGGAGTCTGCTGTGCTCCTGTTGGGTTGGAATGAAAACCTGCAGTCCTGTATTTATGTACGCGGACAGAATGTCCTTCAATTGCAACAAAAATCATTCATTTGTTTTTTTATAATAAAGCCTAATATTACCAAATATATTTGTATAAAAGAGAAAAAATGGTGCCACTTTCAATAACATCAAAAACGTGTACACAAGTTTTGTTATGTAAGAACACAGCACGACTACAGCTGAATAAATATGTTTCCTGGGTCTGGAGCCAGGAGGTCTACGGCCTCAGTCCTGGATCTACAGCATCAGTCCTGGGTCTACAGCCTCAGTCCTGGGTCTACAGCCTCAGTCCTGGGTCTACAGCCTCAGTCCTGGATCTACAGCCTCAGTCCTGGATCTACAGCCTCAGTCCTGGGTCTACAGCCTCAGTCCTGGATCTACAGCCTCAGTCCTGGATCTACAGCCTCAGTCCTGGGTCCACAGCCTCAGTCCTGGGTCTACAGCCTCAGTCCTGGATCTACAGCATCAGTCCTGGGTCTACAGCCTCAGTCCTGGATCTACAGCCTCAGTCCTGGATCTACAGCCTCAGTCCTGGGTCCACAGCCTCAGTCCTGGGTCTACAGCCTCAGTCCTGGATCTACAGCATCAGTCCTGGGTCTACAGCCTCAGTCCTGGATCTACAGCCTCAGTCCTGGGTCTACAGCCTCAGTCCTGGGTCTACAGCCTCAGTCCTGGGTCTACAGCCTCAGTCCTGGGTCCACAGCCTCAGTCCTGGGTCTACAGCCTCAGTCCTGGATCTACAGCATCAGTCCTGGGTCTACAGCCTCAGTCCTGGATCTACAGCCTCAGTCCTGGGTCTACAGCCTCAGTCCTGGGTCTACAGCCTCAGTCCTGGGTCTACAGCCTCAGTCCTGGGTCTACAGCCTCAGTCCTGGGTCTACAGCCTCAGTCCTGGGTCTACAGCCTCAGTCCTGGGTCTACAGCCTCAGTCCTGGGTCTACAGCCTCAGTCCTGGGTCTACAGCCTCAGTCCTGGGTCTACAGCCTCAGTCCTGGGTCTACAGCCTCAGTCCTGGGTCTACAGCCTCAGTCCTGGGTCTACAGCCTCAGTCCTGGGTCTACAGCCTCAGTCCTGGGTCTACAGCCTCAGTCCTGGGTCTACAGCCTCAGTCCTGGGTCTACAGCCTCAGTCCTGGGTCTACAGCCTCAGTCCTGGGTCTACAGCCTCAGTCCTGGGTCTACAGCCTCAGTCCTGGGTCTACAGCCTCAGTCCTGGGTCTGGGTAATGTCCGTCTCGTGAATTGAACACAAACCTCGGAGGAGCTGCAGAAACACAATCACACGTGAACTATTTTCTCTGCGTTAATGTGATGATTAAACATTTGCCTGAGGAGAAGCTTTCAGGATTCTGTTAAATGAGGAGTTAAGAGACTGTTTGTGTTTCTCTTGACTTCACCGTGCAATAATAAGTTTCATAACGTCAGAAAGTGCAATATGGAACCACATGTGTTTATACTAGCTTCTTTATTATGCTAAAGCTAGAGATTTATACTAGCTTCTTTATTATGCTAAAGCTAGAGATTTTATACTAGCTTCTTTATTATGCTAAAGCTAGAGATTTTATACTAGCTTCTTTATTATGCTAAAGCTAGAGATTTTATACTAGCTTCTTTATTATGCTAAAGCTAAAGCTAGAGAGGGTATTTTATTTTATAATGGAGTTATTGATCATTTATCTTCTTATTCTTATAACTTCAATCGAAGGGCTTCGGTAAAATCTTTGTGGCTTTTCTTATTTATTATTCTTTTTATTTTATTTTATTATTATCATTATTATTATTTTCTTTTCTCGTTGGATAGTTTTCAACGTATCTAATGCTTTTCTATATTTGCCTGAAAATAATGGTTTAATTATTGGTTTGTGTGCAGGAGAAATGTTTACCTTTTACTCACGTGGGATTTAACTCTAAATGTATGTTTGTAAATGTACTTCTTGAACATGCTTTCAAAAGATTGTAATGGTATCTGTAATGTATTGTTAGTGAAGGGGGGTAAA